GGTGCACAGTCCCTGTGGGCGGCCCTGCCGATGAGCTCCTTCTCTCCAACTCTGCCTCCTACCCATCGGTGATCAGGTGTTTGGTGGTGTAAAGGAAGTGCAGGAGAATAGGGGGAAAGCAGGGGCAGGAAGAGGCAGAGCAAGGGTGGGATGCTCTTGAGGAAGGGGGCAGAACAGGGCAGGAAGAGGTGGTGTGGATGAGAAAGTGGCATGGAGCAGAATGGGGTGGAGCCTTATGAGAAGGGATTGAGGGAGGGCAGCGCCTGTGGCAGAGCAGGGGATAAGCACCCCCCCCAGGGAAATGAGAAAGTTGGTGCCTCTGAATAGACCAGAGCCTTTTTCCAGTTAGCAACTTTTTATTTTTGAGTCGTCTGATTTTTCTGGGTTGTTCAAAATCTTTTAATGTCTTCTTTTTTATGAGAGGGTATATTTATTCTTGTTCAAGATATATTCACCTTGTTTTTCTACTGGATGTTGCAGTATCTTTTCAGTGTCTTTGTATCTTTGTTTTATAGACACATCTCTGGAACATTTTGGTCTCCCAGGGTATGTCTAGACTGCATGCCTTTTTCGACAGAGGCTTTGTCGACAGATCTGTCAAAAAAGCAAGCCATTTTTTCGAAAGAGAGTGTAGATGCTCTTTTTTGAAAAAGCACAGTGTGGATACAGTAGCACCTTTTTTCGACAGAACTCTGTCGAAAAAAGGCGTTATTCCTCGTAAAACAAGGTTTACCACCGTCGACAAAACTGCCGTTTTCTGTCGACTTACTGTGGTAGTGTTGACGCAGGTATAGTTTTGTCAACAAAAGTCCACTTTTGTCGAGACAACCCTGTAATCTAGACACACCCCAATAGTGGGGATCCATCACCTCTATCTTTGAAGAAGGTCAAACTATTTCTGTTCATTTGTTTTTATTGAGCATGTTATGACAGATCATCTACTAATCTGTTGTGTACTTTTCAGAGTTAGGGGTGCTATAACCTTCCTGTATGCTTTTCAATTCTGCATATATCTTGGCTTCTTCAAAGAAAACTGGTAATTTGGTCAATAGAAGGCTCTTAATTGGGTTGCAGGAAATGACATATGATACCCGCTGCTTGAACCGTCAGCTTAGAATTTTGAAACTGAAGACTTCTAACATAAGAAAGAGCACACTGTAAAGGGGGTCATCTATTACTAAGTATATCGTCACAGAACAGCACTTAAAAATAGGTTCTTTGATAAAATCCAGCAAGTTACAATGTTCATCTTTATTTAAAATAAATTAAAATATATTAGTATTTGGACTGGTTTTACACCATATTTATAGTGAGTATACAGTACTCAGATAGAAGAGAGTAAGATTGAAAATATAATCCAAGCAGTTTTTAGTTTTGTATTTCTATAGATGGTTTGAGGTGGCTAACAGATCTCTGTGGAAAAATGATATAAGGTGCTGCCCTGTTTAAATCTTGGGATTGATAGGTGGCACCATATCCATTACATAACAGTAAATGAAGGCTGCCCTTTCTCATGAAGGAGGGTCCACAGTACAATGGGCAAAAAACAAACAAACAGGAACAGCCATGCAGGTGATAGGATCAGAATGAGAATGGGACATTGGACAAGCTGGAAAACACTGGAAAGTTGAGTTCTCTGTGTATAAACACTCAAGAAGTATACCATTAACAGCACCAGGCAAGCTTTCCCCCACTTCACCAATATGTCTTTGTCATGGCCTGGAGAAATTACCTGTTTTGGCAAAAAGGTGGATCATTCTCCTTTCACTCGCATCTGTTTGGGTTTTTATGAGCTACATTCCCCTCAGAGAATTTTCCTCCCACTCTGACTTCTTCCTACAGGAATTTTACACAGAAGGGAGCAAAACAAATCCAATATTGTCATCTCTGTAGCTATTTAATTTTGATACATAAATGTTTATTATACTAGGAAATAAATTACTTTCAGACAAGTGCAGCTGTTGTACAAATATTTTAGTAGGGAAATCACATTGGCATGGCCTAGATATTGTGTCTTTTTGTTGCTCCACTCTTGTTTGTGTATTTGCTGTCTATTGTCATCCAGAATACTGACTTAATGACATACAGCAAAATAATGTTTTTACTAAAAGGTACAGTATGCCTTGGGAAAAAAATTGAGGCTACTGAAAGATTAGATGGTACCTTTGCATATAGCTGGTGGCTAGGTGGGACCTGGTCTGGCATTTTTGTTTTTAAAAACAGGAGTAGAAGATTTCTCTTTTCTAGCCCTCTCCAATTTATTTGAAGTCAGCAGTTCAAAAACCTATGGCAAGTAAGACAGAATCTAGCATACTATAATATTAAGCACTAGTCCATCCCGTAACACTTTGAATAAAATGGCCAGGACTACAAGAAAAACAGTTCATGTCCCTTCTCAGAGATAAAGTAAAATGAAGGCTCTGATACATACATCATTTTAGGGTGCCAAATTCAGCTGTCATTTATACTTGCACAATCTTGGAAGAATTCCATTTAAGCCAGTCACTTCAGAGTTACACCACCATATATGAGATCAGATTTTAAACTGGTCAAGAGTTAATTCAGCATTTGTATACAATATTGTTAGTATAGTAGTTGGCCCAGATTTTCTCCTAAAATGCTCATTCTGTTACTTCACACTTTACATTTTCTGGTATATATTAAATAGCAAAGCAAATACATTAAGATTTATGAATAACAAGAAAACAAAACACTATGCACGTGCAAGTGTTTTCTGTTTTCTTTCTTGTTGTTGTTCATAAATAACAAGCTAGCATTACAGAAGTGTCTTCAGAGCTATCTCAGCACTTAATAAGTAAAGCATCTAAGTGTGGACTATAAAGATTAAGAATGTTCATTCAGGCCTTGGATTAAAGACAGTAACAGCCTTCAATTGAAAAGAGATGTTTTTAAAAGGAACAAGCATTCTACAAGTAATGTTTGCAACCCAATCCTTTCCGTTCTTTTCTAACGTACAAAGACCAAAATGTGAAAATGCCCAGTCTATTTTCACTCTGCAAGATAGGTGAAATATAAAAAATATACAGACTGTAAATTAAATTGTACAAATGCTGTGTTAATTTTAGTTAATTTGCAACACAGAAAAGGAAATGTGTTGTTGTTAAAATATGGATTTTAACCTGATATCTGCTTTTTAAATGTGTTATGAGAAAACATACTAACCTATTTGTAAAAAAAAATGTATTTTCAAATTTCCGTTTTTTCTCTTATGGATTATAAAGCAAGCTAAGTTTGAAATTTCTAGCTTCAGACATTTTTGAGCTATGTGAGCATAAAATTTCAATTGGCAGAGAGGGAAAGCGAAGGGTTTTTTTTAAGCTCACATAAAACTGAATTAATTTTATTTGCATTTCTGTTTTTTCTAAGTTTAAGCAAAAATCAACACCTCATCATGTCCGTGTATTTTTGAGTAGGCCAAATCAACAACTCCCCACATGGTAACTGTGAAATGTACAGTGCCTGGTATCAGGAACAATATTCTGAAGCTGGCACATAAATATGAACTGTTTTTTCAAGGCTCTCATATATTATTCTGCATGGATCTCTTTCCTGTTTTATTTTGTTATCAGAAAGCATCTGCAGTACTGTATGTCTGTTAAAGCTAGTATAAAATTAATATATCTAGACTTATTTATGCTGCTTTATCCTGCCAGACTATTTGTTTTGATGGTCATACATATGTTTTTATTTCTTCTATGAACACTAATGTTTTTGACACTTGAAAGAAATCATTTTGAGGAATATGATAGTAGATGGCAAATATCCTGCATAACTACAAGACTACATCTCTTTACTATAGGTTTACAGTAAGATATCAATAACATTTACTATCATAATGAGCTTGTTTCAGTATGCAAAAATGTAATTGCATTTATTATGCTTGTCAACAAATAAGTGCTAATTTGAACCTTGTTTATAAAAACACATATGGAGACGAGTTATGGGGGGAATATAATGGGTGAAATTTGCCACACCTGCACAAAAGCTGGGTATTCATGCTGTAGATCAGCAGTTCTCAGATTTTGGCAAACAGAGGACCCCCTTTTTTTATTTGGGGACCCTCTATCCCTTCTCCTAGGCCCCATCCTCTCCATCCCCATTCCTCTGTCACTTGCTTTTTCCCATCCTCATTCAGTTTCACCAGGCTGGGGTAGGCGGCTGAGGCTCCGGCTAGGGATATGG